TTATGTTTACTGTTATACATGTTTTTGTTTTTTTGTTCTTTGAGACCGAGTCTCGCTTTATTACCCAGGCCGGAGTGCAGGGATTTGATCCCTGCTCACTGCAGCCTCTACCTCCCAGGCTCAAGTGATCCTTCCACCCCCACTTCTGAGTAACTAGGACTACAAGTCCCCTGCTGCCCGCCATGCCCAGCTAGTTTCCCCGCTACCACCCTGAGATGAAGTCTTGCTTTGTTGCCCAGGTTGGAGTGCAGTGGTGTGATCTCTGCTCACTGCAACCTCCGCCTCCCGGGTTCAAGCAATTCTGCCTCAGCTTCTCTCGTAGCTGGGATTACAGGCATGCACCACCACGCCCAGCTAATTTTTGTATTCTTGGTAGAGACAGGGTTTCACCATGTTGGCCAGGCTGGTCTCGAACTCCTGACCTCACATGATCACCTGCCTCAGTCTCCCGAAGTGCTGGGATTACAGGGGTGAGCCACCGTGCCCAGCCCTGTTTTGGTATTGTGTTGTAGAGGCAGGATTTTGTCATGTTGCCCAGGCTGGTCTCAAACTCCTAGGCTCAAGCGATCCTCCCACCTCCACCTCCCTAAGTGCAATGATTACAGGTGTGAGCCATAGCATCCTGCCCTAAACTCACCCATTTATGACACTGATCTGACTGGTCACGGTGGAGCCCTCATGGCCTAATCATCTCTTAAAGGTCCCACATCTATACTATTACAGATGGCAGTTAAATTTCAACATGAGGTTTGGAGGGGACATTGAAACCCTAGCTCTTGGATTTCCCAATCCCTTGGGGATTTTTGAAAGCGCAGGAATATCTGTTGGAAATTTGCTTCTGTTTTCGGAATCACTTTTTCAAAAGGGTACTTTTTATCTTTATATCCTTTTTATTCTTTCTGTAATATCTATGCATAGGTCCTTTTTGCTTGTGACTAATTTTGAATGGGGTAGTTCTGTCAGGGCTTCTTATTTATCAAAGGAAAATATAGATTGATTTTCACTGACCTTTATTTACCTTGGTAGTGTTATAATGTATCTTTAGTACATGTTATATCCTCAGCACCTGCCTTAGAGGCATCTGTTTAGACTGTAGCTTCTTCAAGGGAGACAGTTGGAAGCTTTTATATTTCTAATGAGATTTGTATTAGCACACTGTTCACTGAGACTGATGAATTGTTTATCCTTGAGGCATACATAGATTTATGGGGGGGTTCCATCCTGGGATTGGAACTATTTCTTCCCCTTTATCACAGACAAGGAGGTTATTCTGGCCAAAAACTGGGCTCTTGGAGAGTTCTATGTTGCTTAGGTTTCGGGTTTGGTGGTCAGTGTTTTATCTCAGTTTACTTTGGTGCATGGTTATACAGCTCATTTTCTGGGTTTGAAGAAAATGATACTCAAGACAATTTAGTCAATTATTCAATGCGGAAAAGGTTTCTCGGCAGGCATGGTGGCTTACGCCTGTAATCCCAGCACTTTGGGAGGCCAAGGAGGATCTCTTGAGGCTAGTAATTCAAGACCAGCCTGGGCAAAATAGCAAGACCCAATCTGCACAAAAAAATAAAAAACTTATCTGGGCATATTGGTGCACGTTTGTAATCTTGGCTACTTGGGAAGCTGGAGAGGGAGGATACTTTGAGCCCAGGAGTTAGTGGCTGCAGTGAGCTATAATCATACAACCACACTCTAGCCTGGATGACAGAGTGAGATCCTGTCTCAAAAAAAAAAAAAAGCCGGGCATGGTGGCTCACGCCTGTAATCCAAGCACTTTGGAGGCGAAGGTGGGCGGATCACCTGAGGTCGGGAGTTCAAGACCAGCCTGACCAACATGGTGAAACCCTGTCTATTAAAAAAAAAAAAAAAAAAAAAAAAAATTTTAATTTTTAAAAATTAAAAAAGGCCAGGCATAATGGTTTATGCCTTTAATCCCAGCATTTTGGGAGACGAAGTTGAGAGAATCTCGAGTCTAGGAGTTTGAGTATATAATTATGCCACTGCACTCCAGCCTGGGCAATATGGTGAAACTTTGTCTCTACAAAAAATTTTAAAAATACGAAAATTAGTCAGGCATGGTGGCACATGCCTGTAGTCTCAACTACTCAGGAGGCTGAGGTAGGGGGTTCACTTGAGCCTGGGAGGTCCAGGCTGCAGTGAGCCATGATTGCACCACTGCACTCCAGCCTGGGTGACAGAACAAGACGTTGTCTCAAAAAAAAAAAAGAGTTTTAGGATGGGCACAGTGGCTCACACCTATAATCCCCACATTTTGGGAGACTGAAGTGGAACGATTGCTTGGACCCAGGAATTCGAGACCATCCCGGGCAACGTAATAGGAGCTCATCTCTGAAAAATTTAAAAATTAGCCAGGTGTGGTGATACATTCCTGTAGTCCTAGCAACTTGGGAGGCTGAGGCAGTGTTGCTTGAGCCCTGGAGGTTGAGGCTGTAGTGAGCTGTGATCATACTACTGCACCACTCCAGCCTGGGTGATATAACAAGAGCCTGCCTCAAAAAAAACAAAACAAAAGCAAAAAAAGGCCAGGTGCAGTGACTCCCACCTGTAATCCCAGCACTTTGGGAGGCCAAGGTGGGCAGATCACCTGAGGTCAGGAGTTTGAGACCAGCCTGGCTAACATGATGAAACCTGTCTCTACTAAAAATACAAAAATTTAGCCTGGCATGGTGGCATGTACCTGTAGTCCCAGCTACTTGGGAGGCCGAGACAGGAGAATCCTTGAACCCTGCAGGTGGAGGTTGCAGTGAGCCAAGATTGCACCACTGTACTCGAGCCTGGGCAACAAGAGTGAAACTCCATCTCAGGAAAAAAAAAAAAAAAAAAAACAGAAAAGCTTTCTTAATATAATAGGATGTTACTTAATTGTCTCATAACCTACCCACCACCCCCATCCAGGTGAAATATTGATGGCAAGGCACCAGAGAACTCTTTGACTCATTCTTTTTTTTTTTTTTTTTTAAAGACATAGTTTCACTCTGTCACCCATGCTGGAGTGCAGTGGCACGATCTCTGCTCACTGCTACCTCTGCCTCCAGGGTTCAAGCGATTGTCCTGCCTCACCCTCCCAAGTAGCTGGATTACAGGCACCTGACACCACACCTGCCTAATTTTTGTATTTTTAATCAAGATGGGGTTTCACCATGTTGGCCAGACTGGTCTTGAACTCCTGATCTCAGCTGATATGCCCCCTTCAGCCTCCCAAAGTGCTGGGATTACAGGTGTGAGCCACCGGGCCGGACCGATTCATTCTTTTTTAAGAAGTAAATTCACTTATTTATTTACTTGAGACGATATTGCTTTGTTGCCCAGGCTCAAGTATAGTGGTGTGATTACAGCTCACTGCAACCTCAACCTCCTGGGCTCAAGTGATTCTCCACTTCAGCCTCCCAAGTAGCTGGGACTACAAGTGTGCACCACCATGTTTTTTTCTATAGAAGAGGGTCTCACTCTGTTGCCCATGATGGTCTTGAACTCCTGGACTCAAGCCATCCTCCACCCTGTCCTCCCAAAGTGCTGGAATTACAGGCATGAGCTATTGTGCCTGGTCAGAAAATTATTTTTAAATATTTTTAGAGATAGGGTATTACTGTTCCCCAGGCTGGAGTATGGTAGCACCATCATAGCTCACTGTAACCTCAAACTCCTAGGCTCAAGCAATCCTCCTATCTCAGCCTCCCAAGTAGCTGGGACTGCAGGTGCCTACCACCATGCCCAGCTAACTTTTAAAATATTTTGAAGAGATGAGGTCTCCCTGTGTTGCCCAGACTGGTCTTGGACTTCCGGCCTCAAGCAGTCCTCCTTCCTTGGCCTCTCAAAGTGTTGGAATTACAGGCATGAGCCATCTGCCTGGACTTTTACTTATTCCTAAATAAACTTACCGCTTGACTAATATTTACGGAAGTAGATGTTAACATTAGGCATGCCTCTTCAGTTTGGTCTAAATTTTATAGTATCTGGCAGCTCTTCCTTGTAGTATATTTTAAAGAAGTTGTGTCTCTTTTCTAGATTCATGATAGACAAATTTTTTTTTTCAGTCCTTTTTTTGGGTTGTCTGTGTGTTCATGTTTCATTTCATCGGATTTCAGAGACAGAGGTTAAATAATGGTGCATTCACCATCCTTACTCCAGCCTGGAAAACAATTTAAAGCTCAAGAAAATATATGAGCTTTAAATTAGATAATGTATATATCACACTTAATATAGTGCTTGGCACATACATAGCTAGCATTAAATAAATGGAAGCTTTAGGCCGGGTGCGGTGGCTAATGCCTTTAATCCCAGCACTTTGGGAGGCTGAGGCAGGTGGATCACGAGGTCAGGAGTTCAATACCATCTTGGCTAACATGTTGAAACCCCATCCCTACTAAAAATACAAAAATTAGCTGGGCATTGTGGCGCACACCTGTAATCCCAGCTACTCAGGAGGGTGAGGCAGGAGAATTGCTTGAACCTGGGGAGGTTGCAGCAAGCCGAGAACTTGCTATTGCACTCCAGCCTGGACAACAAGAGTGAAACTCTGTCTCAAACAAACAAACAAAAAAAACAAGCTTTATTTGTTTACTTGTTTATTGTCTACTTCACCAAAATATAAGTTCCATGAGGGCAGGGACCTTGTCTGTCTTGCTTATTGACATATTCCCAGTTTCTTTTTTTGTTTTTTTAAAATTTTTTTTGCTAGAGATGGGGTTTTGCTGTGTTGCCCAGGCTAATCTCAAACTTCTAAGCTCAAGCTGTCTTCCTGCCTCAGCCTCCCAAAGTTGCTGGGATTACAGTCATGAGCCACTGTACCTTGCTCGTATTACCAGTTTCTAGAGCAGTGCCTGACATGTAGAAGGTGTTTAGTAAATATTTTTGAATAAGTGAATGATCAGGGAACTTGGGTATGGGTGTGGGAATGAGGGGAGAAAACAATGGGGAAACAAAAATCTGAGCTAGTACAAATAGTTTCTGTCTTCTGCTCATTTGTATATTTCTGTATGCAGGGCAGCCACTTCGGGGGGTACTGATGGATACCTGCGGGGTCGGCTATGTTGCCCTGGGGGAGGCCGGCCCCGTGGGGAACATGACTGTGGTAGACTCTCCTGGAAAAGAGGTGCTAAATCAACTTGATGTCAAGACCTCTTCAGAAATGACCAGTGCAGAGGCTTCCATAGAGATGTCATTACCTACTACCCCTTTGCCTGGATTTGAGGATTCTCCTGATCAGAAGAGGCTACCTCCAGAGCAGGAAAGCCTCTCTAGACTGGAACAGCAAGGTGTGTATCTTGTCCTCTTTATCTTTTTATTCTCCATGCGGAGCTTAAGATGAAAGCAGGTTGAGTTCATAGAATCTTACAAACCTGGGTACAGTGTTATCTATTCTAAAGAGGTTTGAGCTCTGGTCCCATCTCACAGACCCATATTCTTCTCTACAGATCTTTCGTCAGAGATGTCAAAGGTTTCAAAGCCTAGGGCCTCAAAGCCTGGCCGGAAGAGAGGTGGTAGGACACGAAAAGGCCCCAAGAGGCCCCAACAGCCTAATCCTCCATCAGCCCCTCTGGTTCCTGGTCTCTTAGATCAATCCAACCCTCTGTCCACCCCCATGCCTAAGAAACGAGGTCGAAAGTCCAAGGCAGAGCTGCTGCTGCTGAAATTGTCAAAAGACCTAAATCAGCCAGAGTCTCCATCTCCAAAAAGGCCCCCTGAGGACTTTGAGACCCCATCTGGGGAACGACCCCGCCGAAGAGCTGCCCAAGTGTAAGGATTGTGGGGCACAGCTTGGTGGAAGGGGGTTGGGTGAACGGATCAGGGTGGGGCAGATGTTGGAGAGGTGAGAAGACTATGATGATGAGGTATTAGGTAAGGAGGGGTGGTGTCTGGATTCTGGGGACATGACCAGTCCTTTAGGCTCTTACCACAACACCATTAATGGTATGTATTGCTAACTTGAAGAGTTTCTTTCTGTACTTTGTCTTATGCCATTTTTCACTAACTTTACCTAGCTCTTTATTGCTGTTTTACTGCCCAGTATATGTTATCAATATATATGTGCTGTTCTATTCTTTATCTTGCCCTCTCTGTTCTTTGACTGTGGTAGAATGAAACGTGCGTTGAACTTGGAGTCAGAAGACCTGGGTTCAGATTCCACATTTATTACTTGAATCATCTCGGCCAAGTCACATAATTTAGATTTCTGTTTTTTTCATCTTCTAAGGGGGAAGGAGAAATTAATAGAGTTAATTGGTTCATCACGGGGTTATTGGGAGGATCCATTGAGATAAAAATAAACCGTGTCTGGAAAAGTGGGTTCTCAGTTACATGTGAGAATGGCTCTGACTCTGCCCTATCCCACAGGGCACTCCTGTATCTTCAGGAACTGGCTGAAGAGCTCTCAACAGCCATGCCTGCTCCTGTGTCCTGTCCTGAGGCCCCCAAAGTGAGCAGCCCCACCAAACCGAAGAAGATCCGGCAGCCAGCATCCTGTCCAGGTGGAGAAGAGGTGGATGGTGCTCCACGGGATGAAGACTTTGTTCTCCAGGTTGAGGCTGAAGATGTGGAAGAAAGTGAGGCCCCAAGTGAGAGCTCATCTGAACTCGAGCCTGCAGTTCCCCGAGGCACCCCGCGAGGATCTACTTCGGGGGTAACTTCAATGGACAAGAAAGCGAATGGGGACATAGTAGGATTTTTAGGGGACCAGCAAGTTATTGAGAAAGGAAAGATAGCTTTCACCTTGTAACTATAATAGACTAAACAAGTTAAAGAAAAAAGGGTCAATTTCAAAAACAGTTGGCATATTAGGGACAGTGCAGAAGAAGGGGTGTGGTAAGCAAGATTATTCATTCACACGTTGAGTATTCTCTGTTCAGAAACAAACATAAATAAGACAGTGTCCTGCCTCACAAATTCTGAATGCAATCAGCACCACTCCAGGAGTGAAGAAAATGATTTAGAGGAAGGGTAATTAACTGCTTAAGCTTCACAGAGGAATGACGGTTGAATTGGGTCTTGAAGGATAAGTAGAAACTTGCCACAAAGGATGGTTTTCCAAGAAATTGATTATGGCTGGAGCATAGAGCCTGGAGTAAAATTGTAGGGGAGATCAAACTAGAGAAGATGAAAGTACGTAGACTGGTAGGAACCAACAAATTTATTTTTGTTTATTATATATATTTTTTGTGATAAAATGTATATAACATAAAATTTACCATTTTAACCATTTAAAAATACACAGTTCAGTCTGGGCACAGTGGCTCATGCCTGTAATCCCAGCATTTTGGGAGGCTGAGGCGGGTGGATCACCTGAGGTCAGGAGTTTGAGGCCATCCTGACCAATATGGTGAAACCCCATCTCTACTAAAATTACAAAAATTAGCCGGATGTGGTGGCGCACACCCGTAGTCCCAGCTACTTGGGAGACTGAGACAGAAGAATTGCTTGAACCCAGGAGGCGGAGGTGGCAGTGAGCCGAGATCTTGCCCCTGTACTCAAGCCTGGGCAAGAGAGTGAGACTCCATCTCAAAAACAACAGCAACAACAACCAAAAAAAACAGGCCGGGCACAGTGGCTCACGCCTGTAATCCTAGCACTTTGGGAGGCTGAGGTGGGTGGATCACCTGAGGTCAGGAGTTCAAGACCAGCCTGGCCATCATGATGAAACCCTATCTTTTTTTTTTTTTTTTTTTTTTTGAGACGGAGTTTCACTCTTGTTACCCAGGCGGAGTGCAATGGCGCGATCTCGGCTCATCGCAACCTCCGCCTCTTGGGTTCAGGCAATTCTCCTGCCTCAGCCTCCTGAGTAGCTGGGATTACAGGCACACACCACCATGCCCAGCTAATTTTTTGTATTTTTAGTAGAGACGGGGTTTCACCATGTTGACCAGGATGGTCTCAATCTCTTGACCTCGTGATCCACCCGCCTCGGCCTCCCAAAGTGCTGGGATTACAGGCTTGAGCCACCGCGCCCGGCCGAAACCCTATCTTTATAAAACAAAACAAACCAAACACAATTCTGTTGTACAGAAACTGTACAACGAACATTTTTAAGTAGAAAAATAACATCAGTTAGGAAAATAGGTCAAACTATAGTTGACAGAAGACCGTTTCAATTATCCAGGTAAGAGATAGTGAGGTCCTGAATGAAGCAGTGAAGGAAGAGAAAAGCAGGGAGGGAGAAGATTCAAGAGATATGTAAGAGGCCAGGCATGGTAGCCCACACCTGTAATCCTAGCAGGCCATGGTGGGTGGATCACTTGAGGCCAGGAGTTTAACCAGCTTGGCCAACATAGTGAAACCCTGTCTCTACTGGAAATAAAATAATTAGCTGGGCGTGATGGCATGCAACTGTAGTCCCATCTACTTGGGAGACTGAGGCAGGAGAATTGCTTGAACCTAGGAGGCAGAGGTTGCAAGTGAGCTGAGATCATGCCATTGCACTTCAGCCAGACTCTGTCTTTAAAAAAAAAGAAAGAGATGGAAGAGAATTTTTTATTTCTGTAATTCTTTTGTTTCTGTGTTCTCTCACAGAATGGAATATATAAGAGAATTAACTTGGGAATTGAAGGGAGGGAGGAAGTTGAATAGCAGTTTCCAGCTTAGATGGTGGCATCATGCACTGAACCTGGGAACATGGAGAGAGAGAGATATGGGAAGGGTAAAGGTGGGGAGGGGAGAAGATGAGTTCACTTTGTTTTTTTTGTTTTTGTTTTTGTTTTGGAACAGTCTTACTCTGTCACCTGGGCTGGAGTGCAATGGCTTGATCTCGGCTCACTGCAACCTCCGCCTCCCAGTTTCAAGCGATTCTCCTGCCTCAGCCCCCCGAGTAGCTGGGGTTACAGTTGTGTGCCATTGTGCCCACCTAACGTTTGTATTTTTGGTAGAGACGGGGTCTGCCATGTTGGCCAGGATGGTCTTGAATTCTTGACTTCAGGTGATTCATCATCCTCAGCCTCCCAAAGTACTGACATTACAGGCTGAATTCACTTTTTTCCCCCCCATTTCATTGATAAAAATTTATCACAGTTTGGCACCTGGAATAATAACAGGAATAAAAAGTAATTTCAAAAAGAGAAGATTTCTTGAGCAAAATAGATGATTCACATCTTCAAGTCCTTTTTGAAATCAGTTAATTAATATTGTTTTCTCATTTCCATCTAAATGACCGCGGCAATACAGTTTTTAGTTACTCAACATTTTTAAGCCTATAACTGCTAGGCTATGCATAGCCCTATGTCCTAATCAGGCATTCATTGCTCCCAGCTATCTCCATCTACTTGTATCAGCCTCCTCTTTCCTCCCAATCTCAAGGTTACAATTAAAAACTAGTAAATGCTAAAAGAACTTTTAGAGTGGCAAGGTGTGGCCCACCCAAAGTCAGTCCAAGAGCAGTTTTCAGCCCTGCCTCACCTGGGTCTAGTTCAGCTGGCAGATGAGTTGATTGATGCGTTCACCCTGATAGCCAGGTGTGTCCATCTCCTTGAGGAAGCTCACTGCATTTTTGGTAGCATGGTGGGCCGCTGAGAAGTAGAAAGGGCGCAAGAACCGTGAGATCTCATCTGGAAATGCTTCCCTGGGAAGGCAGTTTCATGAATGAGGTCTTCCAAGCAAATGACACCAAACTGCCCCAGGTGCCCCTCAGTCACAGTGTTGTCTGTCAGAGGGATGGTCTTATTCTTGACCTTGGCTTGTCCACGTTTCAAAATGAGTTCCTGGACAGACTTCAGGTTTGGAGATCCCTAGGTCACAAAAGGTTCCACTCTACGCAGCATTTTTAGGTTCGAGGGGGTGACTTTTACAAAGACACACTAAAAATTTTCTTTAGGCAAAGTCTTGCAGTGGTTCTCTGCAGAAGTAAACTCATGCCATCAGTCCTTTCAATGGGTATGACAAAGGCCAAGGAATGTTTATCTGGCAATTCCAAGACATGAGGCTTCACTTCTAGTCACTTTGTCACATATCTGCCGCCAGGAATCATGTAGGAATGATTGCAGTCGCTTAAACCTATGTCCTTTTCCTTTCCTCTGTTCCTTCTTAGCCAAAGGTGCCTGCTTTGCCTGAGTAGCTCTGAGGGCTTGATAAGCCTTCCTCTTTTTCAGATTTTCTGGAACCAAAGGGATTTTTCTTTGCTCTTGCTCTGCCATCTTTCCAGCGTAGCAGCTACTCAACATGTCACTTTCTGACATGTTGAGTTTGAGGTGCCCATGGGCCATGGGCCATTCTGCTGGAGATGGCTGGTCATCAGTTGCATATATGAGACCAGTGCCTTACTTGCCTCATGTGCAGCATTTAAGGGAGAACAGAAACCCTCAGTAATTGAGATAAATGCTATTTTGTTGCAACATTTAAAAAATCAACATCAGGCCAGGCGCGGTGGCTCATGCCTGAAATCCCAGCACTTTGGAGGCTGAGGTAGGGATCACAAGGTCCGGAGTTTGAGACCAGCCTGGCCAATATGGTGAAACCCCATCTCTACTAAAAATACAAAATTTGCCAGGCATGGTGGCAGGCACCTGTAGTCCCAGCTACTCAGGAGGTTGAGGAGAATCGCTTGAACTGAGAAGGCGGAGGTTGAAGTAAGGACAAGAACTTTACTGATTTTTTTTTTTTTTAACTGATTACTGTTTTTTTTCCATTTGCCTCATGCTCTAATATGGCTTGCCACAAACACTGTCTAGAACTTGTAGAGATATTGAGACTGAGTTAGGTTTACATTATGAAGCTGTAAACTTGATAATCAGGCATAGAGATGGTAGTCAAGCTGGATTCGTTGGTATGCGTCTATAGTTCCAGCTTCTCAGGAGGCTGAGGCAGGAGGATTGCTTGAGCCGAGGAGTTCAAGACCAGTCTGGGCCATGGTGAAACCCTGTCTCTACGAAAAATAGAAAACAATTAGCTATGTGTGTTGGGGTGTGCCTGTAGTCCCAACTACTTGGGAGGCAGAGGTGGGAGGATTGCTTGAGCCCAGGAGGCAGAGGCTGCAGTGAGCCAAGATCGTGCCACTGCACTCCAGCTTGGGCGACAGAGTAAGACACTGTCTCAAAACAAAAAAAGCCCAAACAGACAAACAAAAAGGTAGTATTCAAAGCCCCATGAGACATGGGATGAGATTACCAGGAATGAGTGAGTGAGAGAGAGAGAGAGAGAGAGAGTGAGAGAGAGTGTGTGTGTGTGTGTGTGTGTGTGTGTGTGTGTGTGGGGTGTGTGTGTGTGTGTGTGTGTGTGTGTGTGTGTGTGTGTGTAGAGGGGCGAGAAGAAGACAGGAACTCGGGAATACCATCATCAATTTGACCTGTCAAGAAGGAAGAACCTGTGAAGGAATATTAGGAAAGAGGAGTAAGGGGGAGTATTCCATAGGGCAGGAGTTTCAAGAGGCATAGGGAATCCTCTGAATCAAATGCCATGGAGATGTTGAGGAAGCTGAACAGAAAATAGGTAACAGATTTTGCGTTTTCGATGGAGGGAGTAGAGCAGAAGGTGAAGAAGTCATTATAATGTTGAAACACAAATCTTTTAAGATGCTGATAGGGTCATGATTGGAGGGGGAAGTATTGCCAAAGAAGATAAAAGCTGGGAAACAGCTGTCTCTGGGACTTTCTCCAGCCTGTAGAATTCTCTCCCTTATATTTTCTTCAATTTGATCCTCAGAAGCAGAAGCCACACTGCCGGGGAATGGCTCCCAATGGCTTACCAAATCACATCATGGCTCCTGTTTGGAAGTGCCTCCATCTCACCAAGGACTTGTGAGACTTGGGGACTGGGAACCTAGGGGGTGGGGATAAAGGGGTGGTAGAAGAGGGCAAGTACGGTATCAAAGTGGGGCCGTGGGGGAGAGAAGCACTCATGGGTGGAATACCGTAATGACAATCATTACTAAAAGGCACTGCTCCCGAGGCAGGAGCTCTAGAAATCTTTGATTAAAGTGAAATAAAATAAAAAGCTCCGTTTCTCAGCTCCAGTAGCCACATTTTAGGTGCCCAAGAGCTAACTGCAGCTAGCAGCTGGCATATTGGGCAGCACAGATAATAGATCATTTCCATCCCCACAGAAAGTTTTATTGGACTATGCTGCTCTAGAATCCCTCTCCTTCATTAATGCTTCTTCTGTTTCTCCAGCCGAGAGCAGAAGCATTCATACTGGGAGTTTGCTGAATGGATTCCTTTAGCCTGGAAGTGGCATTTGTTATCTGAGCTGTAAGTTGAAGCAACATCTCTGAAGCCTAGGAAGGGTGACACCACTGGAGATGAAAGGGTGACAGAGGACTCTGGATCTATAATGGAAATCCTGGGATGGGTGAAACCCTTCCAAATTTAGATTGTTCCCTTTGCCTTCTTCCAGTGAAGCTGCTCCATACCTGCCCCAGGAGGAAAAGTCTCCATTGTTTTCTGTACAACGTGAAGGGCTACCTGAAGATGGCACCCTCTACCGAATAAACAGGTGAAGATTGCACATCTGCCCTTTTTTCTGATTCTAGGAACCAGAAACAGGAAAAATGAGTGTTGAAAGAGATGACAGATAAATCCTCTCCTTTCCCTGATGCTTGTTCAGTTGGTCCAATGACTAGGAGTCCTGGCTAGAGCCGGTCAGCCCTCTCTAATTTGTAGTGTTCATCGCTGCTGGCAGGCTGAGGGAAGCTAAAGAGATTTAGGGGCCAAAGCAGTTCACAAGGTTACATCTACTCAGAGAGAGCTAGACAGACTAGCCTTAGAGAAAATACTATAGTATTACAGAATGAACAGCTCTGCAGATGAGCTGGAGATAGACAGACTTTGGAGGCTGGTCGTGGTGGCCCACACCTGTAATCCCAGCACTTTGGGAAGCCAGAGAGGGAGGATTACTTAAGCCGAGGAGTTTGAGATCTCCATCTCTACAAAAAATTAAAAAATTAGTGGGGTATGGTGGCATGTGCCCGCAGTCCCAGCTGTTCCAAAGGTGGGATGACTGCTGTAGCCTGGGAGGTCAAGGCTGCAGTGAACTGTTGACCATACCACTACACTCCATCCTGGGTGACCGTGAGACCCTGTCTCAAATAATGTAAGACAGACTTTGGGAAGGAAAGGAGGAAGATACAAGTGGTAGCCAAGGACTCTTCTCACTTGTATACGGTTCTTGCTTGAGCCAGTTCATACTGGCTCTGGGTGGAGCTCCCATTCAGCCCTCATTACCTTTTATTAACTCCTTTCTTCATCCCATGTTTGATTTTTCTCTAGATTTAGTTCGATCACAGCACATCCAGAGCGCTGGGATGTGTCCTTCTTCACGGGGGGACCGCTCTGGGCTCTGGATTGGTGCCCAGTGCCAGAGGGGGCAGGAGCCTCGCAATATGTGGCTCTTTTCTCCAGCCCTGACATGAATGAGACACACCCACTGAGCCAGCTTCATTCGGGTCCTGGGCTGCTCCAGCTCTGGGGCCTTGGGACCTTGCAGCAAGAAAGCTGGTGAGGTGGGGTTGGACACTGCCATGGGAGGGTGGTTGAGGAGAGCAGGATGGGGTCTGGACAGGATAGGGGGAAGGGCTTGGATTGGGCTGAGACAAGGGGAGCTTACCTCTGGCAGCCCTAGGCCCCTTCTTCCTACCTACCATCCCCACATGCTCTCTCTCTCCAGTCCTGGCAACAGGGCCCATTTTGTCTATGGGATTGCTTGTGACAACGGCTGCATCTGGGACCTCAAGTTCTGCCCTAGTGGAGCATGGGAACTTCCAGGCACCCCTCGGAAGGTACTTCCCAGTCAACTATGGGATGGCCCTAGGACTCAAAGCCAGGACAAACAGGCCCTGGGAATTCTTAGAGTTGAAGGAAGGAAGGCTGGAGTGTGGTGGATGGAGTTTTTCCAGCAACTCCATACACTATTTTCAGGGCCTAGAACCTCAGAGGTTTTCTGTGAGTCAACTGAAGGCAGCAAGCCTCAGCACATCTTTCACCCTCTAGGCTCCTCTCCTGCCCCGGTTGGGTCTCTTGGCTCTGGCCTGCTCAGACGGGAAAGTACTGCTATTCAGTCTACCCCATCCAGAGGCTCTGTTGGCTCAGCAACCCCCAGGTGAGTAGCACAGCAAGGAGAACAGGGCTGCTGTAGTGGTGGCCAGAGCATAGCAGGGCCTGTATATCTCCCTGGAAACATCTCTGGGCCAGTCTCTCTAGCACAAAGCCTTACTTAGCCACACACAGACCCTGCATTATGACTCATACTTGTTCTCGAGCCGTCTGTCTTTCGTAGTCTTACATTTCCTTTTATCTCTCCCATCTTCCCTCTTCTGTGCTCTCAGGATTTTCTCCCTCTTGCTGCCACAGGTAACTGGCTGCTGAGGGCTCAGACTGATGGATAGGGCCCATCTCCCCGGCCATACTCTTGTTCCCCCAATCCTGTCCTTAGTATTTCCTGCCTCACCACCACACAAACACAGTCCCTTGTGAAGAGAGGGATAGAATTGAGAGCTGAAGATGAGCAAGAGGAGCAAGGAGTCAGGAAAAGGCAGCTTCTATATGTTGAATTTATTTGTTTTTCATTAGTACTGAGTGTTTAAAGAAGAGTGCACCCAAGCTGGAGCCCTGGGAAGTCCCATATTTGGTGGTGTGGTGGAGGAGTGGGTTGAGGAGTTAATAGGAGGTCAGAAAGTGAAGACAATAAATATAGACAATTCTTTCAGGAAGTTTGGCTGTGGGGCTGGGCATGGCTGCTCATGCCTATAATTCCAGCACTTTGCAAGGCCTAGGTAGAAAGATTGCTTGAGCCTAGGAGTTCAAGACCAGCTAGGGCAATATAATGAGATCGTCTCTACAAAAAATTTTTAAAAGTAGCCAAGCATGAGGCCAGGCGTGGTGGCTCATGCCTGTAATCCCAGCACTTTGGGAAGCTGAGGCGGGCAGATCACCTGAGGTTGGGAGTTCGAGACCAGCCTGACCAACATGGAGGACACTCCGTCTCTACTAAAAAATACAAAATTAGCTGAGTGTCTTTTCAGGCTCCTATAATCCCAGCTACTTGGGAGGCTGAGACAGGAGAATTGCTTGATCCTGGGAGGCAGAGGTTGTGGTGAGCCAAGATCATGCCATTGTACTTCAGCCTGGGCAACAAGAATGAAACTCTATCTCAAAAAAAAAGTAGCCAAGCATGGTGGTGCCTGGCGTTGTGCATTGTGTCACTGCACTCCAGCCTGGGCGGCCTAGCAAGACCCTGTCTCAAAAAAGAAAAAGAAAAGAAAAATTTGGCTGTGAAGGGGAACCAATAATTGAGGGTGGCGGATTGATTGAGTGTGGTCAGTAAAGGAAGATTTTGTCCATTTATTTGGATAGGAGACAGCAGGGCATGTTCACATGGCAATATGTGAGTGACCTAGACTAGGGAGGAAGCAAGTGGATGACACAGGAGAAAGGGGGATAACAGAATGAGCAGTGTTCTGGAAAAGGTGCTGGAGGTTAGGAAGAGAGTAGAGTGAAGGGATTGCTATTCTGATAGGAAGAGGGATACTACCAGGTGTGACAGAAGGAAGGAAGATGGGAGCAGATAGAGGTAGGTTCATAAATTTGGTGATGGAAAGATAAGGACTTTCTCAACAGAGCATAAGGGAAGGTCATTATTCAAAGGATTGGTTGCTGATTTAAAAGCAATGCCTGTGTCCACAAAGGAGGTCTACGGAGGGGAAAAAAAAAAAGCAAAGCCTGGCTAGGCATGGTGGCTCACACTTATGATCCCAGCACTTTGGGAGGCTGAGGCAGGAGGATTGCCTGAGCCTATGAATTGGAGGCTGCAGTGATCCATGATTGTGCCACTGCACTCCAGCCTGGGTGACAGAGTAAGACATGCTGAGTCCTTGGGATCTATAGGAAAAAAGTTACTGATCTTTTTTTCTTCACAGATGCAGTGAAGCCTGCCATATATAAGGTGAGTGAGGAACCTGCTACCTTAGCTGAGGCTCTATCTTCTTAGAGCCTCACCTTGCTGATTACGCAGTGAGTCTCCTTATACTTCTGAAAAATATCTTCATCCTGCTGGATTAAACATTAATTTGAGCTTTCATTCCAAACAGTGTAGGTATCCCTAACCCTAGTCCCATCTCTTCTTTCCCTGCAGGTACAATGTGTTGCAACCCTGCAGGTGGGGTCTATGCAAGCTACAGACCCCTCTGAGTGTGGTCAGTGCCTTAGCCTGGCCTGGATGCCTACCAGGCCTCACCAACACCTGGCTGCTGGATACTATAATGGTAAAAAAACAAAAACAAAACATAAGGAACTATTGCTCTTTAAATTTTTTATATATGCTTTTTTTTTGTATTGTTTATTTTGTGGTTCAGTACTGGACATATAGTTAGAAATACTCAAGCAATGTCAAAAAAAAATGCAAAGAAAATAAGTCACTAAACTATTTCTACTCAGAAAAAAATTAAGAGTAGATAGATGCTGGGCCAGGTGCGGTGGCTCACACCTGTAGCACTTTGGGAAGCTGAGGTGGGCAGATCACTTGAGGTCAGGAGTTCAAAACCGGCCTGGCCAACATGGTGAAACCCTGTCTCTACCAAAAAATACAAAAATTAGCTCGGTGTGGTATGCACACACCTGTAGCCCCAGCTACTTGGGAGGCTGAGGCATGAGGACCCAGGAAACAGAGGTTGCAGTGAGCCAAGATTACACCACTGCACTCCAGCCTGGGGAAAAGAGTGAGATCCTGTCTCAAAAAAAAAGAAAGAATAGATGCTGGCCAGGTGTGGTGGCTGATGCCTATAATCCCAGTACTTTGGGTGGCCAAGGTGGGAGGGAATTGCTTGAGGCTGGCAGTTCAAAACCAGCTGGACAACCTAGTTGAGACCTCATTAAAAATAATAAATTTTTTTTTCTTTTTTTTCCACTATATTGTTTCCAGCTTAGAATTTTTTTTTTTTTTAAAAGTGAAGATGAACTTCATTTCATGCAGTTCTTTATGTATGTATAAAGATAAAAAGATCAGAGAAAAGAAAGAGTTTTATAAAAAGGAGATTGGCCAGGCATGGTGGCTCCCACCTGTAATCCCAGCACTTTGGGAGGCTGAGACAGGAGGATCACTTGAGCCCAGGAGTTCGAGCATACTGTGTAAGGTTTTTTTTTTTTTTTTTTTTTTTTTTTTGAGACAGAGTCTCGCTCTGTCACCAGGTACCAGGCTGGAGTGCAGTGGCACAATCTCGGCTCACTGCAACCTCCACCTCCCGGGTTCAAGCCTGCCTCAGCCTCCTGAGTAGCTGGGACTACAGGCATGCACCACCATGCCCAACTAATTTTTGTATTTTTAGTAGAGATGAGGCTTCACCATGTTGGCGAGGATGGTCTCAATCTTTTGACCTCATGATCCGCCCGCCTTGGTCTCCCAAAGTGCTGGGATTATAGGCGTGAGCCACCACACCCGGCATGTGTAAGGTTTACTAAAATTGTGTTAAATTTAATTTTATCTTAATTTTATAGAAGAAAAAGACACTAAAGTCAAACTGAAATACTGGCTACGTCCCTGATGAATGTTCCTTCACTATAACAGACACTAGTTCCTCAAAGATACTTTTAGAAGAATTAAAAAAAAAAAAAGACTATAAATTATAAATAACATTAAGTAGTTGGAGTTATTAGGTTTTGTTTTGTTTTGTTTTAAGATAGGGTCTTACTCTCACCCAGGCTAGAGTGCATTGACAAGAGCTTGGCTTACTGCAGCCTGGACTTCTGTGCTCAAACAATCCTCCATTCTCAGCCTCTGGAGTAGTTGAGACTACAGGCACGAGCCACCATACCTGGTTGATTTTTTGTAGAGACAGAGTTTCACCATGTTGCCCAGGCTGGTCTTGAACTCCTGAGCTAAAAGTGATCTGCCCGCCTCAGCCTCCTAAGTGCTGGGGTTACAGGTGTGAGCTACTGTGCCTAACCTAGACCGTTATTTTTAAATGATAGTGTCCTTTTTAGATATAAGTAGACTTTCTACTAGGAAGATAAGGAAATAAAGCACTGATACAGACCTTTTTATCATGCCTTTTTCCATGTTCCTTTTTTGGTGGTATTATTACATTGTCAAGGTGCATGATACTTGATGCTGTTCTGTTATCTTAATTCCTAAACTTACATATTGATTGAGTGCCTCTCCCAGTCCATTTATCTCAGTCTCCCCTCCATTGCTGAATTATTTATATTGCATGGCTGTAATTCCATCAACAAATTTTTTTCAAGAAAGGTTCATAGGTGCTGCACTCATTCCCTTAGTGGCTCAGCCTTTTGAGTGGCTGAGACTACAGGCACGCGCCACCACATCCAGCTGATTTTTTTTTTTTTTTTTTGAGACAGGGTCTCCCCCTCTGTGACCCAGACTGGAGTACAATGGCATGATCTTAGCTCACTGCAACCTCCACCTCCCGAGTTCAAGCGATTGTCCTGTCTCAGCCTCCTGGAGTAACTGGAATTACAGGCACATGCCACCAAAGGCCAGCTAATTTTTGTATTTTAGTAGAGATGGGGTTTCAGCATATTAGTCAGGCTGATCTCGAACTCCCAACCTCAGGTGATGTGCCAACCTCGGCCTCCCAAAGTGCTGGGATTATAGGCGTGAGCCACTGCACCCAGCCTTACTTTATTTTTTAGAGATGGGGTCTTACTGTCTTGCCCAGGCTGGTCTCAAACTCTTGGGCGAAAGTGTCTTCCTGCCTTTACCTCTCAAAGTGCTAGAATTATAGGCATGAGCCACTGCACCTAGCAACATTGTGTTGTTTTTGACTTCTTGCCTGTTCTCTTTGTCTTGGGGCAGAGTTAGCAAACATTTTCTGTGAAGGTCCAGATAGAAAATAATTTTAGGCTTTGTTGGCTGTTTGGCCATTGTTGGAACTACTTAAGTCTCCCATTATATTGAAGCAACTATAGACAGAGAATGGGTGTGGCCGTGTTCCAGAAAAACAGGTAGCAACCTGTATTTGGGTCATAGGCTGTAGTTTGCTAATCCTTGTCCTAGAGGTTTTGTTTGTTTGTTTTGAGATGGAGACTTGCTCTTGTCACCACGCTGGAGTGGAATAGTGCAGTCTCGTCTCACTGCAATCTCCATCTCCCGGGTTCAAGTGATTCTCCTGCCTCAGCCTCCTGAGTAGCTAGCATTACAGGCACCCGCCACCATGTCTGGGCAATTTTTTGTATTTTTAGTAGAGAAGGGGTTTCACCATGTTTACCAGCCTGGTCTCGAACTCCTGACCTCAGGTGATCCACCCACCTCGGCCTCCCAAAGTGCTGAGATTACAGACATGAGCCACCAATCCCAGCCTATGCTTAAAAGTCCTTTAACTTTTATTTATAGGGAGTAGAGAGAGGTGCATTCTATTCTCTGCAGTAGGTGTATTCACCCTATCATTTTTCAACTGTAGATTCCAGACAAAGCTATTGTTTTATTGATTAGAATTGGGGTTAAAATACCAGGTTGAGTCTTTAAACCCTGGAGGGAGCGTTGGATAGCTAATCAGGATCCACACATCCTTTCATAGTGGTTTGGATCTAAGGGTAGAAGACAAAGGTCCTAGGAACCCAGAAAAAGAAATTAGAGCAAGGCCAGGCGCGGTGGCTCACGCCTGTAATCCCAGCACTTTGGGAGGCCAAGGCGGGTGGATCACGAGGTCAAGAGATCGAGACCATCCTGGTCAAAATGGTGAAACCCCATCTCTACTAAAAATACAAAAAATTAGCTGGGCATGGTGGTGCGTGCCTGTAATCCCAGCTACTCAGGAGGCTGCGGCAGGGGAATTGCCTGAACCCAGGAGGCGGAGGTTGCGGTGAGCCGAGATCGCGCCATTGCACTCCAGCCTGGGTAACATGAGTGAAACTCCGTCTCAAAAAAAAAAAAGAAAGAAATTAGAGCAAGGAAGAAAGAACTTGTTTTTAATACCTACACATTGTGTCCCTACTTCAGGCATGGTGGTTTTCTGGAACCTTCCCACTAACTCACCCCTGCAGCGGATACGGCTCTCCGACGGCTCCTTAAAGCTCTACCCCTTCCAGTGTTTCCTAGCCCATGACCAGGCTGTGCGTACCCTTCAATGGTGCAAAGCTAACAGGTATAGAATAGGAGATCTCTGGAGGGGGAAGGTGAATATTGGGACAGGCTGACTCTTCCAGATTTATTCAGATTTGACCTTCTCCCATCTTTTCACAGCCATTTCCTTGTCTCTGCGGGGAGTGACCGGAAAATCAAATTCTGGGACTTACGACGACCTTATGAACCCATAAATTCTATTAAGCGCTTCTTGAGTACAGAGCTGGCCTGGCTGCTCCCCTACAATGGCGTCACTGTGGCTCAGGACAACTGCTATGCCTCGTACGGCAAGATGGAGATAGGACCTCTGGGGACAGGCCCTAAGGGTTGGGGTGCAAAGCGTGCCAGATTGTTGTGGGGAGAGGAGGGTAGAGAGTTGGTTCACTGAGGTGGTTTAAATTCTGGAAGAGGTTAAGGAGTAGAAATGAATCTAAAGAAAAGGAAGGTTTAAATTTATTTCTCTTTTAACAGTTACGGACTCTGTGGGATTCATTATATTGATGCTGGTTACTTTGGTTTCAAAGCCTACTTCACTGCTCCTCGCAAAGGCACTGTTTGGGTGAGCCCCTCTTTCTTCTTCATTACACAGGAAAACCGTTCATTTATGCACTATTAGTGGTCAGGAAGAGGCAGTAGTTTTGGATAGAAGGAGAAGATAAGTGTGTGGTATCTCTTATCAGGGCTGTGGGTTATGATAAACTCATTTTTTGTGTGTGTGTGTCAGACTGCAGTTGTTACCAGTTCAGCTCTGAATAAATGAATGAAAGAATGAATGAATGAAATCTGTCTCTTTCTATTAGAGTCTTTCAGGATCTGATTGGCTTGGGACCATAGCTGCAGGAGACATATCTGGGGAGCTCATTGCTGCTATATTGCCAGATATGGCACTGAATCCAATAAATGTCAAGCGACCTGTAGAGCGAAGATTTGTACGTATATGAACACCTAACAGCAGCTGTTGGATCCTATAACGCACATGCCTTCCCAATTTCTGGTAGAGTACAAATTAGTGCTAGGTCTCCCAGCCCTAATATTATCCCAGAAAGTCTTAGCACAGAGTTGTGTATAATCTTCCCTACCCTACTGCATCTGAGCATATATTTAAACATACTACTTTCTTCTATCTTTAAGCCTTTCCTGCCCAAACCAGTTTCCTCTCTCTGCTTTTATTCTGTCTTTAGTATTATAGAACCTAATTTCATGATCTCCTTTCAGCCTATATATAAAGCAGATCTGATACCGTATCAGGACAGTCCTGAAGGTCCAGACCATTCTTCTGCTTCATCTGGGGTCCCTGACCCTCCCAAGGCTCGAACTTATACTGAAACTGTCAACCATCACTACTTGCTCTTTCAAGACACAGATTTGGTAAGTTGAGGCCAGGATAATGGGTGTGATATTAGAAAAGGTAGAAAACTTTAGTCTTTGTATAGTACGCAATCCTGAGTTTAGCACAAAGATGTAAAACTAAGGAGCTTCAGCCGAGCTTGGTGGCTCACACCTGTAGTCCCACCTTTGGGAGGCCAAGGTGGGAGGATCACAAGGTCAAGAGATGGAGACCATCCTGGCCAACATGGTAAAACTCCGTCTCTATTAAAAATATAAAAATTAGCTGGGCCTGGTGGCACGTGCCTGTAGTCCCAGCTACTCAGGAGGCTGAGGCAGGACAATCACTTGAACTCAGGAGGCGGAGATTGCAGTGAGCCAAGATTGCACCACTGCACTCCAGCCTGGCAACAGAGCGAGACTCTGTCTCAAAAAAAAAAATGGCCAGGTGCAGTGGCTTACGCCTGTAATCCTGTAATCCCAGCACTTTGGGAGGCCAAGGCGGGCAGATTACCTGAGCTCGGGAGTTTGAAACCAGCCTGACCAACATGGAGAAACTCCGTCTCTACTAAAAATACAAAAATAGCTGGGCGTGGTGGCGCAGACCTGTAATCCCAGCTATACTCGGGAGGCTGGGGCAGGAGAATCGCTTGAACCTGGAAGTGGAGGTTGCGGTGAGCTGAGATCGCGCCATTACCTTCCAGCCTGGGCAACAAGAGTGAAACGCCATCTCAAAAAATAAATAAATAAATAAAAACCAAAACAAAAAAATAAAAACTAAGGAGTCTGTCACTTTCTCGCCTGTTTCATTTCCCTTCCCCAGGGTTCATTCCATGATCTGCTCCGGAGAGAACCAATGCTGCGCATGCAGGAGGGAGAGGGGCATTCTCAACTCTGCCTGGACAGGCTGCAGCTGGAGGCTATTCATAAGGTAATCTCTCATCCTTGCCACCCTCCACTCATTTCCCCCCAGTGCTCTGGGCCTGGGGCTGATGAAATGGGAAATGAAAAGGTTACACAGATGATAGCCTCCTCCTCCTCCAGAGCATGACAGTACTTCATTCACTGGCTTCTCATTCTTACCACTCTTGATTGTGGCTCATTTTTTTTTTTGCTCATATAGCTAGGAGTCACCCTCAAGCACCACTCATGAGCATCTCTCTTTGTTTTCTGTTCTCTTCACAGGTACGTTTCAGCCCAAACCTGGACTCCTATGGATGGCTGGTATCTGGGGGGCAGTCAGGGCTGGTTCGAATCCATTTTGTCCGTGGACTTGCCTCCCCACTGGGCCACCGTATGCAGCTTGAAAGTCGAGCCCACTTCAATGCTATGTTCCAACCATCCTCCCCCACTAGACGGCCTAGCTTCTCTCCAACCAGCCATCACCTTCTGCCCACTCCCTAGCTTTGGTCCACGACAGACCCTTGGAGTGAAGTCGGTCAAGAACAAATGGCCCCTATGCACAGAGCCATAGGAACTGGGGGCCTTCCCTGGACACTGATCATGCCAGGCCTGGACCTTTAGGCCTGCCTCCCAGGACTCCTTAGATCCCACTCTTTCCACAGACTTCTGTGATCACAGCCCCCTGCGGGCAGGGGGGCTCTCCCTCCACAAACTCTCAAGGCTCCTCAGCTTAAGACTATGGCTCATGAGAAACACTCAGGCCTGACCTAGGCTTGGGAGTCAAACTGCTCATATTGAGCGTATTGTTAAGTGGGTGAAGCTTAAGTAAAGGTACTGGGTGTTTTTGCAACCACTTGTGAATGGGTGTATGGAGAATTGAAAAAGGTATCTGCATGAAGGCTCCTGTCTGACTATTTTAGGATACTATATTACTGCCTTCTGAAACTTCCTCTTTAGGGTAACCATTATATATGCCCACAAGGGTGATAGTAATTTGTGAGACTGAAGTTGCTTTGAGTACTACTTTGACCAAGGAACACCACGAACACCCTACCGATAGAACAGTAGCTCAGATCTTAACTTGCTCCTGCTTACGAAGTATTCCCAATCACTGGTCATCTGACCCTACTTGAACACTCCTGAAGAGTCATGTTTTTTAAAATCTTCCTTTATATCAAGTCAGAGTATACCTCTATAAATTTTACTCATGGGTGTTAGGAAATTTAGTCATCTTCCCTGTGATTTCCCTGTTAAATATTTAACCATAGCAATCATGTGTTTCCCAAGTCTTCTCTAGATTAAATATTTTCGGTTACTTCAACCATTCTTTTACACGTCATGATTTTTGATCCTTCATGATACTGTCACATTGTTGACTTATTATAATGTTTACTTCAGTTCTACATATAGGAGGTGTTTAGAACCCAAGTACAGTAATGTATTGTTATATCTCATCTTGTTAGAGTCCTCTCATGGGATACTGCCTCCTAAGCAAAGACAGATGCTAGTGGTGAGAAACAGGCAAACCATGGTCTTGAAATGCCTAGGAGTATACGCTGGGGTTTGGAGGGAAATAGATGACCTCAGGAAATAGAAAAAAACAGGCAGCTGTTTTTTTTGGAGGAAGTAGAGATCAGTGCCTACCTGGTACAAAACCCTCTGGCATTCTAGACTGGCCAAATACGTAGTGTAGGGATATATCAGAAAATGTCCTTTAAGAGGGGATCAAGAAGTTTAGTCCTGGCCAGGTGCAGTAGCTCATGCCTATAATCCCAACACTTTGGGAGGCTGAGGCAAGAGTTCACTTGAGGTCAAGAGTTCAAGGCCATCCTGGCCAACATGGTGAAACCCCATCTCTACCAAAAATATAAAAAATTAGCTGGGTGTGGTGGTGTGCACCTGTAATCCCAGCTACTTGGGAAGCTAAGGCAGGAGAATCACTTGAACCTGGGAGTCAGAGGTTGCAGTGAGCTGAGATCATGCCACTGCACTCCAGCCTGGGTGACAGGGTGAGACTCCATCTCAAAAAAAAAAAGTTCCATCTCCATCCTTTACAGATGAGAAAACAGACCTGGAGGAAACCCAAGTCCATCAACAGCAGAGAGAGAACCTATGTCAGTGCAAAGAAGCCAAGTGTTGCACTACCCTATTGGGATCCAGCTCACATTGAGCCAGTTTTTTGAGCTGTTAGGCGAGTGCCTTCTGTCAAAGAAAGCTTTACTCAATTCTACAGGGCAGTCCCTTTCCTATTTTCAGTGGTAGAAAAGATGGGACCTGGGGATCCACACTTGAGAGACTGTAGGTTGGCGCTGGCAGCCCTGCTTCTGCAGCTGAGTCTCAGCCCTACTCTTGACCTTGTTCCTTTTCTCTACCAAGAGCTTTTTCTCTTTCCAGCTGTCCCTCCCAGTATATCCACTTCATACTGTCCACAGTTCATATACTTTTCTACCTTTATTCCTCTTCTCATACTCCTTCCTTTGCCAGGAGTGTCTTTTTCCACCATCTTTATCCGAGTTCAATTCATCCCTCAAGGTCCCTGCTCAAATTCCACCTTCACCAAAGAGCTTCCCAGTTTTCTCCAGTTAAAAAAAAAAAGTCTCCTTTGTGTTCCCACGGGGGAAGGAAAAAGGATAAACAAGCATTAAGCACTTGATCCGTTTCAGGCAGTTTGCATATGTCACTTGTATGAGGTAGGTATTGCCATTTTAATGATAAAAGAGGTGGAGAGGGTAAGCAGTCTGTAAAAGGTCAAGGTCATATAACTAGTAAGTGGTGGTGCTGGGGATATGAACTCAGTCTAACTTAAGAATATAACTTTACAGCCTACCACATTTGGTCTCCTATTACATTTACTTGTGTTAACTCACTTCTCTAGCATGCTGTTTTGCAAATAGAAGCGTTTTAGTTAAATGTTTGTGACACTGAATTCCTTGATTCCTTTACTCTTCCTCCAGGATTTGTGGCAGGAGTCTCCCTGCCTTAATAAAGGAATTGGGTGAATTGGGGATGGAGCTGGGCAAGTGGACAGCCTGAAAAGAGTCTGCCTCCTGATGTTTGGGCTCCCAGGAGATAAGTAAAGCCTGCCAGCCTAACAAATCCATTGCCAGGGATATTGTAGACATTCCCAACGCTATAGAAAAGATAATTGCTGTATAGTCACAGACTCTTAGAATGTTAGAGCTGGAACGGATAAGCTTACTGGTTTTCAAACATGCATTGTGGACCCCATTGTTAAAAATGGGTCTTCTGAGAAGTATATACTTTTTAAAAAAGAAGCAGCTGTAGTAATACCGCCCCTCTCATCCCCCTACACACAAACATCTCCTGAAGAACTCCTAGAACTGAGCCGAGTTTGGAAAGTCAATAGTGTAACCCCCCTCATTTTACAGATGCGGAGCCTTAAGACCAAGTCTAGTCATGACTAAGGCTGCACAGCCCGTTAGTTAGGGAGCCAATATCTAATGTCTTCTGAGGTTCTAATTCCAGTGCTTTCTGTGGAAGAGTCACATGTATGCAATATTTCTTAAGTGGCTGTTTGCAGCAAAGCACTGAAATAGTTGCATGAGGACAAATATGAACGACTCCAGTTTCACCCACGCATGAGCTCACAGCTGAGGATAATGAAGAACCTACAGACAAAAAATAGCTTATAGCTCCCGAACTACGATTGCTGAGAAAAGGATGTCAGGACCTTGTGAAGTTCTTGCGGGGGAGGGTGGGCTGAACAATGAGACTACCGGACTGAGAGAGGCCCGGGCCTCGAGGGGAGAGAAGGGGCTGGAGGAGGCAGAGGGTTGAACCCAGGTGGGAAGTAAGGCCGGCAGGGTCCACACAAGGGTCCGGCGCAGTCCAGCTGGAAAAGGGGTCGCTCACGGAGTGGGTGACCGAGTTAAGTCGCTCTCCAGGGGTATCTGGCTCGCTCCACTCCCATTCCTGTCCTGGGTGCGAAGGTCCGAAGGACGCTGGGCGGAAGGGGTGGGACTTTGGGCGGAAGGGGCGGGACTTGGGCGCGGAAGTTCCTAGGCCAGCCTGTTACGTGGGAGGGAGGCTCCGCGCCCAGCTCGCACTCAGGTGAGTGGCGGAGGATCCGCAGTCACTGGCTTAAAGTGTTGTAAGTCATGAGCGCCCACAAGGCATGTGGTCATTGTATATTCGGACAGTGATGTACCCTGTTTTGGGTCTGGAGCTGGACTCAGGAAGGTTACACTGGTTGCAACCAAGTCTGAATCTGGAGATGGACCAAGCTGTCTTTTCAGGGACCTAATCTCTGGGTGGAAGCCAGAGCAAAGCTGCCCTCTTGAGTGTCTCGGTTGGGAACCCAGGCCTCCATTGGCCCTGCTTCAGGACTGAGGGTGGGGTGGCTGGTGGCTGCTACTGGGAGTCCATAGCTTCCCACAGCCTTTCTCTCTTCCCCAATTGCCTAAGGCGACTCCTGCAACAGGAAGCTGTCTGGGAAGCATCCCGTATGTGGCCTCTGCCCCTTTAAGTAACATTGGAAGTGGGAAGGGCAAGGGAGTGCGCACAGGGAATGTCAGGCGGCTCCTTAGTTGTGGAAAGGGACAGCGGGGGTGACCCCTCTTCTCTTGGCTTGACAGGAAGCATGGCACTCTGGCGGGCATACCAGCGGGCTCTGGCTGCTCACCCGTGGAAAGTACAGGTCCTGACAGCTGGTGAGTGTCCCTCTAGGACTTGAGTGGGACCAGGGCAGACTGATTTGGAAGCCAGAGTCTTGTCTCACTGCACCACTCTCACTTTCTGTTTCTATTCAGCCCTCTCGAAGGGTTGGCTGGCTTTCATCACACACTGTCCCCAGTCTGTTTTGGAGGGTGGCCCCCAAGGCTGTTTTTAAGGGGTAGGCATAGTTGGCCAAGCTGTGCAGTAGGGTTTTAGGATTTCAAAGTCCTCAAAAAGCTGGTCAGTCCTGAAATAAGATAAAGGCATTGCCCCAGAAGGCCCCAACTTGGAAAACTAACATTTTACTGTATGCAAAGCACTTTTATATACATTATAGCATAGGGCCCCCACAAAGTTGTGTGAGCTAGGAGGGTTGAGTCCACGTTAGATCACACCTAATAAGTGCTAAATCAAGACTCCTACCCGAGTTTTTCATGGTATTTTTTATTGTGAAACATACAAAAGAATGACTGAGACATGTATGTACAGTTTAAATAGCATTAAAACTGAACAGTTCTGTATCAGCAACCAGCTTTGAGATCTCTTGAGCACCTCTCCCTAATTCACACACACAAATTTCCTGAGTTTTGTTTATATCATTCATTTGCTTTTCTTATCATTTACTGTCTAAATATGTATCTCCAAACGGTATCCGATCACTCCATCCTGATCCATTTGGATTGATCAGATACCAATCACTCCAAATGCAGTGACTGAATACCAACCTCACAGAGGTAACGCCGTGACTTACCTACATTTGTTACCATCTTCATTCTGCAAGTTAGCTAATGTAAGAGGATGGTGCGAAGATAAGTAAGTCTTATGGGGGATGATTAGAAGGCCTTAGACCATTGGGGTACAAAGGGTAATCACATTAAGATGAGGTTTTGCCCATGTTTAGAGGAGGGGAACAGGATTCTATTGATGACTGGGCTTCTGAGAAGAGGACCATTGGAAGGGATGGGAGGCTACTGAAAGCCAGAGTAGAACAGGGGTCCTGTGACCAGAATAGCCCTACATCAGCACTAGAAACTTAACTGCATGAATGGCCAGGAGATGGATTATTTGGCCCTTCCCTGAGTCCCTCTCCAGTCTCCGGTGCCCAACCACCTCTCGTCCTGTCCTCAGTGTCCGTCAGCCTGTATGACTCACCTGGCTGCGTGTGTGGTGACTCATGCTGGGCAGCGTGGCTGTGATGGGAACTGACACGCTGGGCCCTTTGCCCAGGCTCAGATTCCCCCAGGGCCCATAACTGCCAGATGGAAGCTTCCCCCTTGTGGTCATCAAGAATAGGGAGGGAAGGATAGTCCTTGCATTTCTCTACCCAAGACATCTGCAGCTGACAAAGGCAGGAGCTAGAGCTCCAAGGAAGCCCAGGTGCCAACATGTGGCTGAACTGGGGTTCTGGTCTCTTGGTGCTGGAGCCCTTCAGCTCCACAGCCTCAGTCTTCCTGAGGCTGTACTGACATCCCAGCTCTGCCCTGTAGCAAATTGTAGCCTCCCAGCACTTTTCCCAGACTTTTTCAGACCATTCAGACTTTTCCTTCCCTCCTGTTCAGGGTATTTGGATCAAACTACAAATAAAGGGGGAAAGTGGCTTTAGCTCACTGAGCCACTTTTGGACCCCAGCATAGTAGTTTCTAAGGT